CAGCATGAACTCAAGCTCTAGTAGCATTGAACTGATGAGTGAATTCTTTCATAAATACATCAAAATGAGTTGTGAAGGATGCAATGAGACATTTTGCAGTTGATTATATAGCAGGGTCAAGGATCTGAAATGTAAGCAAAGGATTTAGCTATTGTTCTTTCAGGAGGAAAGGGTTAAGATGGTTGTTTTTGTTGAAACTTGATCTGGATGGCTGGAATGCCAAAATCACAGTCACTAGTATAGGGGGAATAAAATGGGTAAGGAAAGCCATAGATGAGATTATGCCACTGTATAAGTACATGGTGTACCTTCATTCTGATTGCTATCTACTATCTCAGTCATTTCATCTCAGAAAAGATGCAATAGGATCAGGAAAGTTGCGGGGAGAGGAGACAAGGACGTGCAGAGGAATGTGATGGCTTCATGTGAGAAGAGATTAAATAGGTTATGTCTCTTCAGCTCAGAAGACAGACAGTTCAGAGGGAGCGTTATCGAGGCACATGAGCCTGCGAATGGAGCACTTTCTCTACAGCACAAAAAGTAGTTTGGAAGGAAGCTTCGGAAAGAAGGAGAAAGGTTTTCCACATGGTACACAATGGCATCGTAGAAGTTGTTGTCACAGGGTATTGTGGAGGCCAGTGTGGAGTTCAGGAAGGGACTGGAAATTCAACAGTGGGAAGAAGCATGAGTGGCAGTGCAACATCATGGTCCAAATTCAAACTCCAGAGTCCTGGGAGGGCAGAGTACCAAGGATGGGTGGGGCAGCCTGTGACGTAAAGCCCTCTTTGCTGGAAGGCTTGTGCAGCCCTACCATAGGTCAGGTTGGCTGAAGAAAGGTGATGCTGAGCAGAGAGACAACACAATATAGCAGCAGGTACAATATAGCACCAGGCTCTGCTCCTCAGAGTGAAATCCCTGTCTGTCAATGCAGGTCAAAGTCTTTGCAGCAGGTGACATAAGCTGGGTCTAGTACCTGTCTCTGCTGCTGCAGGTATTTGATTGTGCTACTGGGACCTGAAGAAGTTGATAAGAGAAGCGTGTGCCTCCTTCCCCCTCACCAACCAGTTCAGACACAAGATGAAGCTCTCTCTACCCATCACTGCTGGCTCAAAGGGCAGAGATCTGCCCAGGGACCCACCATGGCACCGCAGGCTGGCTGATGTTCCTACATTTGGAGCTTGGGGTGGGAGTGTGTGTGTGTGTGTGTGTGTGTCAGTTTGCTTTTGTAGTACTCCAGGGAGTAGCAGATGAAATAACTCGTGTTTGTGAAGTCCACCACCCAGGAGTCAGACAACGATACTAAACCACCTGGGAGCCTGAGTGATGGTAACTTGTCTCCTTCTGCAGTTGCATTCTCTGTTAGAGGATCACTTTTATGTTATTATTTAAAGGATGACAATCTGCAATTACCTGCATGGGAAAGAAGTTTCCAAATACAGATGGCTTTTTAATGTATTGGGAATAAACCTAGGAAGTTCCAGTGGCTGGAAGCTGAAGCCAGACACATTCAGATGAGAAATAACATACTTGGAGGCTAATTAACCATGGGAGCAATTTGCTTAAGGTTGCAGTAGGTGCTCCATGACTGGCAAGTATTGAATCAGGACAGATCTATTTCAGAGATGTGGCCATGCTCAAGTGAAAGCTGCAGTCCTGGGAGGTGTGGCTATGGGAGATGCTCTGGAAGAGGTCAGGTTTGAGCCATGGTGTCACAATATGGAGTTCTGGTGTCAGTACCATCTTGTGGTGCTGCAGGGTTTCTGTCCCACTCTCCTGCAGCTTATTCCTGACCTGTGAGGTGCTGTCCTGCCTTGTGCCAGAACTACCATTTCTGGGACAGAGCTGTGAATGTCTGGGTGACGGAGTAATGTTAAATGATGTTTTTCCCAGTGTTTATTTAAAACCAAACTTGAGCCTCAGTTCTAGCTCAATGCAGGGCCCCACAAGTAGTAATGCTGGCATGGGATGCTGGCACATGGGCAGCTGCAAGGGTGAGGAGATGGACATATCCAAGTTCGGTGGCTTTGTCTCATCCTCGGTGACTCTCTGCTTGAGGCTCCTGTTGCACCATGTGCCTCCGACATGTTCTGCCTTCCCTCCTAAAGATGTTACCCTGTTCTCCTTGGGGGGGTTTCACTGCACATGCACTGCATGGTCAACTGGTGCTCACAGAGAAAGCGCAATGTGTAGGCACATGGCAGATTTACAACGCCAGCCCCATCCATCTGTGCAGCACATGTGAAGGGACCTGAGCCCTCCCGGAAGCATCTGGTTTGCTCTGCCTGCACCGTGTTGCACACATGGACATGGTGCAGTTCAGGAAGTCTCAGCTAAAAAAGTGCCATAGCTAGTCATTTGGACTGTGTGGATCTTCACTGGCCTCAAAATCTGTGGTTTGACCAGCACAGGTGCTACAGGAATCGGAGAATAAAGGGATTAGTAACACCTCTATTCCCAAGCTGTGAGGATATTTGGATACCTGTGCATCACTGCATCCCCACTTGCCCTGGGCTTTCATCTCTTGCACATGCAGTACCACTTGTTGGCTGTTTAGACGCTCAAAGTTCCCTTTGGAGAACAGAGACCATTTCCCAACCCTTCTGGGATGCTCCAAGAACAAGACCATCAAGGCAGGGCTTGAAGTTTTACCACAAACTTTTGAACTCCATCCTGCAAAAATCTCTATAAAATGAAAAAGAAAGGGAAAAAAAAAAAACAACAAACAAACCAAACCAGACATAGAAAGCAAAATCTGAACTAGATATGCATGTGATATGGTAAAATTTGAAAATGACCAGAGCTAAACAATTAATTTTGCTCTTATGGAGACAGAAGAGGAATACTGAGTAAGCCAGGACCTTTTTTGCTGTGCTTTTGGTCTGCACTGCGCTGCTTGAGAGGAACAGACAGATGTCCTGCTTTTGCTGTTCCAGGGATGCTCGAGGTTGTACTGAGGGTTTGCTTTGCTTTTCATCCCTGCCCAAAGACTGCTGGAGCAGGTGTGTTTGCAGCAGGGCTGTACGCACTGTGGAAGTGGTGAGGAAGACCGGAATGCTCCTTCCTCCAAGCTTGATCTGCTTATGGTTTTGGACTCTGAGTGGAGATTGCTGAGCTGGGCCTAAAGCTGTGATTTAGTAGAGCCCAGGATGGTTTATTTTGCAGCCAGAACATAAAGCAGAACAGAAAGCAAGCTGGGCTAATCTTCAAACCCGATTGCAATACATCAGTCTTCAAACCCAGTATAGATTGTGTTCATAATTTCAGCTTAGAGTTCATTAGTTCACTCTTCACTTTATGCATTACATTTTAGGCAGCAGTCCCTATACTGCTGCCCTGAGCATTTAAAACCTGAGAGTCGGGTTTCTTGATCCTTTTGGCATATTTCTGCACGCTTAGCTTTATCGAACAGCAACCTCTCCATAGCAATATTTACAAAATCCCCTTTTTGCCAGATGACCAGTGTGAGTTGCGGGGAGCTCGCCCCTTTCCCTCTGGCTGTACTGGGGCTGATCCGGCTGGGTTCCTCACTCTGCTAAAGTAGGGGGAAACCATCCCCACACCACCATCCTGGCACTGATCTCCCAGGCCTCACCCTCAAGAGAGACATAAAAGCATTTTTGAAAGGCGAGCCTGGGAACTGAAGCTCACGGCACTGTGAGGCAGGCATGCATCAGTGCAACGAGGTTTTACAGCATGTTATTGGTTTTCCATTTCTAATTGTATCTCTTCCCTCCCTGTCTGCAGGGATTTATTACTGCTGCCTTTGCCAGTGTCCTCTTATGCTTCACAGGGTCCAGCTGCCCTTTTGTCCCAGTCTATAATTGACCATCGTCATTAATTTAAAGTCAGAAAGATTGTTTCCGAGCTATATTTAGCCTGAAGCTTGCTGCTCTTGCTTCAGACCTGATTAGAGGCTCGCGTGCCGGAAAGCTTGCTGCTCATCCCTGCCATGACAACTAGTTCTGACAAAAGGTCTCATGTCTCCTCACAAACCTTCCCCTTCCTTCCCCACCCTCAGTCCACGGGGCTGTTCTGGGGGAGTTAGGGTAGAAGGATGCAGTGCTACTCATCCCTGTGTCCTGATAGAGTCAGGACAGCTGTGTGATTCCTGTTGTATTCCTGGGATCCCCATGCATAAAAGAGCAGCCCAAGACAACACAGCCTCGATTTCATTCTCATCACATTCACTTGCTAAAGCCGATGTCTCCTGTCAAGTGCATACGTTATCACTTCCAAAATGCATCAGTTATACAGCACACATGACACTACTGAACAGAAAAGCCTGCCTGTCCAGTCGGTGAGTGCCTTGATGTGTTTTCATATCTGTGCCCCTAAGCATAAGAGTATAGTAACTGTATGGGCTTCCTTGTGGGAGATGCAGTTTTCCAAGCTGTGTTTTGGATTGCTGGACCAGGGAGCCAGGGCAGGACCGTCTTGGATGGCAGAAAGCTTATGCTAGAGGCTGCTGCGGTGGTAGTTCCATACCATCTCCAAAATCAGGAATTGCTTTGGTTTTGGCATCAGCAGTGTAAGCAGATGCACCTGTAACCTCAAGTCTGAATCAAATAGAAGCTGCCTGGAAGGGGTGTATTTTCTTTAAGGTAGTTGAGTCGCAAGCCACCAGGAGACTAACGCATATATATAATTCACTAACTTTGTGCTTGGAAGTGCTGTGGTTAGTTACAGAAATGGACAACCTGAAATGTTCCTGAAATGCTGTTGTGCTCTGAAAGCTCTCCCTGCCTACCCCAAAATGATGCTCAGAGACCTGCTGAGTGGTTGAGTTTCACTCCGTTATTCTCAACTGTGCTTGCTACAAGCATTTGTGTCAAGCATAATTTACTCTATCCTTTTAAGGTTGCAAAGGTTTCGTTAGAAAGGATCTGAGAGTGTGGTGACCGCATTTGGTATCCCATGATGCAGGATGGGCTTCGATTATTTCAGGACTTCCCCTGTGACAACATTGGGTTTATGTGGTTTCTTCCTCTGTTTCCCCATAGGTTCATGAAAGTGGCTGGCAGCACTGTGGATGCTGTTACCTGGCAACAGTAGGTATTCACCATTCCTTCTACTTTCCAACACTAATTGCAGTAATCAGACAATGCTGGGAGCTGAGCTGATGCTCTGTCTGGGTGTGAAAGGGTGACAGTCACCTCCTCTGTCCTCACGATGCATTTAAATAGGAAAAGAGGCTTGGCCTCTCCTTCTGGAGCCTTTACCACTGCAGCTGAGGTAGAGGCTAAAAATACCACTGCCTGCATGCCTGGCCTGCCCGATTGCTGGAAAAAAAGCCTATCAGTGAGGTGCTGGTACCTGATTTTCCTCCTAGTTCCTACCTGTTCTGCAGGTCAGAAGAGCAAAGCAAGCCCTGAGCTCTAGCACTGAGTGTGACATGCACCAAATGGAGGGAAAGGTTTTATTTGGGGGAAAAAATCCATAAGCGTCTTTTTCCTTCTCTTGGTTCTAACTCTCCCAGTCTGCACACTGTGCAGAGGTCGGCTCTCCAGCAGGCTGTGGCCCCCTGCAGCGGGGGCCACAGCAAATTTGCCAGTGTGCAAATACAGCAGCGATCGCCAAAATTGATAGAAAAAGGGTTTGTGGGGCAGGCAGGACTCTCTCCTGCCACAGAAAGAACACATTTCAGAAACAGGCATTCACTGGAGAAAAAAAACCATAGTGAGACCCCTCTGTTCCCAGCCAAAGTGAATTTGTCCTGACGCTGGGTTAAACTTCCCGCGTGAGACACTGTCCTGGAGCAGAAGCTGGGGTCTCAGGTCCGAGGTGGGTTTGTGTGTGCTGCCCAGAGGGCTTGTTCCCCAAGGTGGTCCTTCACAGCCACACTTCGTGGGGTGCTCAGGTTGCTTTGCTGACATGTAACAGCATGGTTTGTGAAGTCCATCCCTTGTGAAGCCCATCTGGAGACCTGCTCTTTTTAAGAGCTCAGTGGGTTTTTAAGATATGAGGTTTACTTGCAAATGTACCCACAATCTGTGTTGTCGTGTTAACCTTGGAGCCTCCTGCAGAAGCAACTGTTGGTATCTCAGAAGGGTTTATAGCACCAGGCATGACCAGCATCCAGCGAGTCCCATTCCTTGGGGAGCTTAGCTTGCCTCGCTGTGCCACCACGTTGCTTGCTTGGGTGTTTGGCTCCTGAGGCTTCCCTGCCAAGCAGCAGCAGTTTGCTGTGATGGGGGCAGTGGGGTAGCAGAGCATTTGGAGTGGGATTTGTGTTACTTACAGGCTCATGCTGTGCGACGATGATCTATGTCTCAGATGGGAGTTTGCTTTTCATGATTACACGATGTGCTGATCGCATTTACTTGGTCCAGGAATTTGCTTTCTGCAACAGGGCTTGATCACTGGGCCAAGTCCTTGGATGAGTCGAAGGAACAAAGTTCCAGGCCTCAGATGTGGAGTTTCATCCTGGTGTGCGGGGAATCTGCCTACACTGCTGCTTTGAAACCTTTTCTTGCAGGATCAGTGCAAAGTGTTCAGTGGCTCCAGTGCTGAGTGGCTGCACTGAAGCAGCAGCCTGCGGGGGCGGGGGGCTGGTGCAGCCCCCCATGAGGGTCTGCGGAGCTGGGACATTGCTGACCCATTTCCACTGCAGCGTAGGAGCCTCTTCTCCCCCAGCCTGGATTTGCAGCTCTGGAGATCGCACCCATATGCGTTTGTGAGGGCTGGCAATGGCCACAGCTCCGAGCTGGGCTTCTCTACTGTTTATGAATAAATGTCAAAACAGTGTCTCATCCCCCTTGCTCCAAACAGCAAAACAAAACAAAACAAGTTCCTTTGTATCCAAGAAGAAAATTATTAGCAGGAAACTAAACTGCTGTCTAATTTCAAGTATGAATATTTCTGTTCCAAACCCTAGCATTCTCCCGAGATATTGGTTATAAATTTGTCAAATCAGTAATTCCTTTGAAAAGGCTGTGCTCAATCCAGAAAGGGAATTGAGAAGGATTGCAGGGATCCCTGTACTCTGTGTGAAAACAGAATATGTCTGAAATATATCTGACAGAAAAGTGACACTGCGTGGAAACAAGCAGCCTCACCAGCCTTTCTGAGTCTGGTGTCACTTACATATGTAACTCAGCATGTGTGCCTCCCTCTTCAGAAGTAATGTGTTGCTGGAGATGGATGTGTGAATGGCTTCGAAATGCTCAGGGAATTTCCACTAAAGGAGGGTGTGGCAGACGGAGCTGACAGTGGCTCCGAGAGTTTTGACATTTCCCTGGTAATTTAGTTTATTTGTTATGTTTGGTTATGAGTAAATGCTCGGTTTATTGCAGACACCCTCAGCCTTTGGATGCGGGTTTCCGCTGCTCAGAAACCTCCCCACAGCCATCTCTTTGCTCAGCTCTGGTGTCCTCACACATGGTGAAGGTCCATTGCCCACTCAAACCGGAAGGCTGTGCCCAGTTCCATCCTTGGGTGTACACTCTTAGTCTGTATGGTGGGTTTTCCATCCAAAGTTCTGTGCACAATTCCAAGTTTGGCATATTTAATGGACAAATCCTTATGCAATGCTGCCTTTAAAGCATAAATCCCTGTTACTTAAGGGGAAAGTAAATATTTGCATCTTCAAAGCCAATAGACATCTATCCCTGTGGCTCCTTGGAGAATGCCACATTATCTTCTGAGATGGAAAGTCACTTGCCCTGTGTGGCAGATCAGAGATGTCAGGCACATAGGCACATGTGAGATACTGCTTAAGATGCTTTTGCTGAGTTTGGTTTGGGTGACATCTCTTCTGGCTTGGATGTGTCGAATGTGAAGTTGGAGATGCTCGGAGGCAGTAGCAGGGGGCAGATTTCCCAAAGGTGCCTGGGGAGAGTTGCCCAGTGTGCACCCTCCAATGTATATATCAAACGTATTTGTTTGAGTGCTCAGAGCATGATGCCTTCAGAGGTTGTGTCTGGTGGAAGGGATTGCATGAAAGAATCACTGGCCCATCTCCACCTGTAAATGAGCCTGGCCAGGGCAAGGCTTTGCCCACTGGCTTGCCATCCTTTGCCCTGTCTGATGAAGGGCACTGTCTCTGGGAGCATCGTGGCCCTGGCCACCAGGTCAGTTCCAGGTGATGCCAGGGGAGGCAGCATCGGCCAGAGATGGCTCCCACCAGCAGGATGGACCTTGTCTGGGGGCAGAGAAAGGCACCAGTGCGAGTTGTGCCTTTAGGGCTATAGAGCAGCTCCTAGTCATTCTTTTTTAGCAGTGCATTTATTAGTTGACTGGAGGTGGGCAGCACCTCTCCCCTGTGCCCGCAGCTCTTTGCCTGGGGGGAGCAGGTCACACCCCTGTGCTGCAGCCAGGAGCTCTGCCCTCTCCTCGGGAAGGTGCTCGGGGTTCAGGGCCACCTCTGTCAGCAGAGGTGTCTTGGTTTCACAGCTGTGGTGATGGCAGGCATCTGCCCCGCTCGATGTCCCCGGCAGGCGGCTGCCCTAATTCCTAGCAGACTCTCTCTGTAGCAGCAGGCAACAAAGTAGATCCGGAAATTCCTGAGCTTTGGGAAGTGGGCTTTAATGTAATTAACTGCAACAGAAGAAGAGGTCAGATAATAGGGGCAAAGGTTTCTCTTTAAAATGAAAGAAGATGTAAATGAAACCAGCTGCCCAGGAGCCAGCACACTGCCTTCATTAAACTTGGGATGATGCTCATGGTCCCACACAGCAAATTGTGAATCTTTCCAGAAAACCATTTTAAAGGCAGCACAAGACCTAGAGGTGACAGGATAGATGTGTAGCCAGCCCCAGGTTTGCCTGACTGCCATGGTGCTTGGCACCGACCCTCTCTGGGAGGCACTGAGGAGCTGTGTGCCTCCTGGGCTTGCCTGAGAACAAGGGCGTTTCTGACAGATAGTGGTGCTCAGCCCTGCCTCAGTACCGTTCCCAGCTCATGTCATTGTGTCTTGAGTCTCATGCTACAGTTCCAGCCAGAAATGGAGGCTGGGAATTAAGATGGTGCGTTTCTTAGTACTGGCACCAATCCCTGCCCAGCCTTGCCTGAGTTCTTCCACTGCAACGTGCTCTGGTTTGAACACCTCCAGAGTGATACAGTCACACCTCCCTTTGCAAAGTGCACTGATCCCATCCTGGGTTTCTGGGGCATTTTCAGATGGGCTTTTTAGAAATGGGGTAGAGAATAGGGAGACAACTGGCCTCAGAATAACCAGGCACCCATAGTGGTTTTATGCAGCCTTTCCCCCGAGATGTATGTCTCATTTAGGATTTAGTTACTAGATCCCTCCTTTCCTTGTCTGGCTCTTCGCAAATTCCTACAAATTGTCTGTCTACAGAGACTGTGGCATCAAACCGGGGGACATGATGAGTCAGTTCTGCATGTAATTGCCCATATCTCTGTTCTCCTATATTATGAGAAACTGCATGTTCTGTGCCCTCTGTGAGCGTGCTGCTGTCTCCTAGGTCTCAACACCAGCTCTGGTGCTGCGTTGCACTCAGAGCCCACTGGAAGATCTGCTAGCCTGTGATAGCTTGTCCATTAGCTACATGTCATCTGACAGGTCATGGCTGCCAGAGACCCCTGCCCACACTGGCGAGGGTCTCTCCATTTGTCTCCTTTGGCACTTAGACCTCTCCAGCATCGGGAGAGTTCAATGTGGATGCTGTGGCCACCAGGACTGGCCCATGCACGTGCTGCTGACTGGCAGGGGGGTACTTGTCAGCACTAGGACTCTGCAGCTGCTGCTGGCTTTTTTGGAGGTTGGAGAGTTGTGACTGTTTGAGGTTGGTTTTTAAAGTCAAGTGCACTGAGTCATTGTAAATATCAGCAAAGCTGCAGCCTTTGCTCCTGGGAGTAATCCATGCCTAAGAAGCACTTCTGCTTTAAAGGTCCATCAGTCGTTTGCATTTAGTGGATTTCTATACTGCCTTTAGCGACAGTTAAAGTTCTCAAAAGGAGGTGCCTTGTCTTGATGAAGAAGCCTAAAGCTGGAAACAATTCACCTGTTCCTGGGTAGCCTGATATCAGCGAAGACCTCAGTGCCCCTCTCTTCCTCACAAGCCTTGTGCCATTTTCCCTCTTTCCCAGTTTGGGGAGGTTGAAAGTACCTGTTGGTCTCTGAGAACTACTCAAGCAGATCTGTAAGAGATCCTTGCCTGTCTTACAGAAGCTTGTCATTGTCTTCGTGCTCTGCTTAAATACCCAAGGTCGAGGTGCTCCCCTCCTTGCTCCCACAGGAGACAAGCTACCAACAAGATTTCGTGATACTGAAACAGGTTAATTTTTGCCTTTCATCCCTCTACCAGTCCCCATTTGTGTGGTTTGTTAATGAAGATGTCAAAAAAAAGGTGACCATGGCACTGTCCTGGGGCGTTTCTCTTCCCTGCAGGATCTCGGCTGTGCTTAGCACCTTCCCAGGCTGCCTCCTCCACGCAGTCCCTGGGAAGGCAGAGCCTACTCTGGGACTGCTTCTGAAGATATATTCTTCTTCCTTGGCAGAAGAGCTGTAGGTTAGAGCACACACTGGGCTTGAATGAGATGAGGAGGACGTGCAAGCCTGCCTTTGTTCTCTGAGGGATTTATTCCAGGCTCTCAGTCCATATTGGCTTGCGCAGACCAGTTGAACCCTGCAGACAGCCTGGCTGGAGGGGGCCATACGCAGACTGAAGTCTCTCTAACTCCGTCTTTTCTCCGTCAATGCAACCCTCTTTTTATGGCCTCTCAGTCAGTTTTCAGCCCAGGTGATGGGTTTTTTTAGTCCACAGCAGTCAAAAAAAAATTGTTTCTGTTCAGTTTGTAAGTGCTGTGCTAAAATCGAAACATCTGCCATCCCCAGAGTCCATTGCTTTGCAATTTTGTCTTAAAAAATAATCTCTGTAAACCCCACTGCTGCCTGCTGCTTGAAGATCTGCTCTCCTCCTGGCAGCTAGAGGTTCGATAGTGTGTAAGTGATCGGAACAATTTTGAACACCTCCTAAGACCCCTCCAGAGATAATCTCTAACCTTAGCACCTTCCAGTTACCATGAATGTACAGAAATGCCTTCCCTGGGTTACACAACGTTGGAATGAAATTAAGGTGTGACTTGCATGATCCCCTGCTTCGCTGAGGACACAGCTGGGACCCCACAATTGGGAGAGAGTGGACAGAGGAGGTTTTTCTCCTTTAATGCATTTGCAAGTTGAGCCTGTAATGTATTTCTATTCTGGGACAGTTAGTGCTGGCATTGTTCCCTCTTCACCATGGCTTTGCACAGCTCCAAGTGCATTTATTTTGTTACCTGAGTAGTGACTTGGAGCAGTGAGACACAAAAATCCTCTCTGAGCGCTCATGCGTGGTGCACATGTGCTGGGTGCGCTGGCTGAGGCTGTGTTAGCCCATGGCATCCTTTGGGGATGCTCCTGCATTCCAGCCGGTTGGGATTGCCTCCAGGCACAGGGTATTTGCAGTGCGGGACAGACTGCTTCACCTCATGTCCTGGAGCCAGGAGATGATATTGAGGCATTTCAGAGCGTTCCTCCCACACTTAGAGACAGATGATTCGTACCGTAGTTGGCAGCACCATAGCTGTGTTTTGTATAAGCAAGCACATGGAGAGCAGGCATCACCCCTCTGTGTGGGAAACACTCCCTGACATTCCCAGGGCAGAAGGGATTTCTGCGAGAGCAGGACTTCCCTGCAGGCAACGGCCACAGCATTTCATTAGTCGGGGATTCAGCTGTGGATTTTGCTGGAAGAGTGAGCGAGGAAGGTGCTGGGAGCCAGGCTCACTCTGGCGCTGTAGGTCCTGCACCCCACAGTTGATAATGCTTGCTCAGAAACACCATCAGGGCTTAACCTAGTATCCTCCTATGGCTAAGGGGCCCTTCCTTTCAGGCACGAGATATGTGTCTTCTGTTTTGCCATCTCATGAAAACAATCTTTACAGTAGCGATGATACAGGGCCCAGGACTGACTGGCTTGTTTTCATTTTGAAAACTGTATGTTGCTAGGACAGGGGATGTGTACAGACAGGACAAGCCAGGTGAGGGGAAGATGTCCCAAGATCTCCCTGGTCATGGGGACCAGGCACTGCTATCACAGGCATCTCGTCAGACAGTCATCTCGTCAGACAGTCTGTTCCCATGGGGTCTCCATGAGATCAGTGCAAAGGGTGCTGCAAAGCCTTTGCGTGTGGCATTTTGCTCCCAGCCTTTGGTGTTCTGCTCCCAGCATTTCACTAGCAATAGTTAAGGAACTGCAGAACTTTCCATGGTTTCTGCAGTGCAGGATGCTCGGTGTTCAGTGAACGTCCACTCCATGCCCTGTTTTGGAGACTGAAGGCATCTGCAGGATCAGAAGGGCAGGGCAGGGTGCAGGCAAAGACCTCCCCCCGTAGCAGAGGAGGCTTCTTGGCACAGGGCAGCAGCAGGACAGGAGGACATGGTTCGGGGCAGAGCTATTCCCAGCTGTCTGATCCCTGTCTTCTTATTTTCCTTCCAGTTACTACATTGATGGCCGAGTGGCCAAAGTGACAGACTTCCTGAAAACGCGCCTGTTAGACACACTCTCTGACCAGATCAGGAAAATCCAGAAAGTGCGTGAGTGCAAGGGGTCTGCAAGGGGTGGGGTGGGATGTGCGGGGGACCGGGAGGGAAGTGGCCACAGGCTGCAGCATGACATGGGCTGTGCAGGTGTGCCGGGACGTGGCTGGATGCACAGGGTAGGGGCAGATACTGTTGTGCGATGCCTTTCGAAAGCAGCCGACTGGCTTGAGTCTCCCATCCATCCTTTCCTGAAGGGAGCGGCATGTAACATGGATATTCTCTGAAACTTGCTCCCGAGGACAAGGTGAGGAGGGAGAAGCCAGGTGGTACCAAACCACCCAGAGCACAGCTGGTCCTGTGCCTGCTCATGGGCAGGCTCCTACTGCAGTATCTTACCCCACTCACTCACAGTGCCTAAAAATGTTGCTTGCAAAGTTGTGACAGTTGCATTTCCAGGGTGATTTTCACTAGTGGAGAATCATAATCATTATGGACAACTGTTTTTTTTTCCCTGATGATCATGTTTTGACTGTGTTATAAAACCCAGCTGTTACTGGCGTGCAGTGTCAGAGCCCACGGCTCTGCCTGGATTGCACAGCCTGCAGTGAGCTCTCCTCTCCCTGCTGATCGGGGGACCCTGCTCTCATCTTGAGCAACTGCATAGAGAGTCCCCTTGCTTTGGCTGATATGGGGGCCGGGGCTGTGACCCGCCAGCTCAGCTATCAGTCCCCGAAGAAATAAGGAACACCTAGTAAGTGGGGAAGGCTTTAGGGACTAGAGGAGATGCCCGTCTATCTGTCTTGTCTAGGTTTTCATCCCATACCATCACCACAATGTCTCCCCTGCAGGGAGAAACCATAGGATGAGTAAACAACTCAAAGAGGCCCCAGGAAAGGGGATGTGAGGGTCGGCACAGCAAAACTGGAGGAGAGAAACAATAAGGAACACCTAGTAAGTGGGGAAGGCTTTAGGGACTAGAGGAGATGCCCGTCTATCTGTCTTGTCTAGGTTTTCATCCCATACCATCACCACAATGTCTCCCCTGCAGGGAGAAACCATAGGATGAGTAAACAACTCAAAGAGGCCCCAGGAAAGGGGATGTGAGGGTCGGCACAGCAAAACTGGAGGAGAGAAACCGCTTGCCGAGTCCTCTGGCACAAACTGGGAATCATCCACACATGCAGATGATAATTCTGCTGCAGGGAGGCATGGTGGGATGGCTAGTGGGGTCAGCATGGGGGCAAGCAAGAAGCACTGCCTGATCCTGCTCCCACTGTGCGTACAATACCCCACCAAAAGTGGTGGCACATGTCCCACCTCTGCTGCAGGTCAGAAACCTGCTGCAAAGGGAGCAGGACCCCATCCATCCCCAGACCAGAGGCTTGCTGCCATCAGTGTGAGTTGGGGGAATCCTTGCACCCATAGGGCAGGATTTGGTCTGCATGGTGCAGGGCTGGGGAAGGGTTCTCCTGGGAATGCCAGTGTGGCTGAGCAAAAGCACAGTACTGGGTGCTAATAGCCTCCAGCTTGGCTTTGAGTCTGTGCATCCTGCCGGGGCTGATTAGAGCAGCTGGGCTTGTCCAGTTCCCTGTTTTATTGCTTCCTCTCCGACCGGGGAAGGTGGCGGGCTTAGATAATTACAGGCAGGATGCCAACACCTCTGGGGCTTCAGTCAGGGATGTCGACTCTCACAGGCTGTGAGTGGGAGGCAGCCCAGAGCTGGCGTATTTAACATCTTTGAGGGATCCCAGTCCATACAGCACATTCCAGCGCTCTCTTCACTAATGGGGCAGGATCTATCAGGCTGCGCAGAGCAGCACTCCTTGGGCCACTGCGTTTGCAGACATCTGGTCGTGGGAGCTCGTCACCCGGCCTGGAGAAGTAGAATTGAAGAAGAGAGGATGGGGTGTTGCGCAGTGCTGGCAGTTTCTTGTGCTGGGAGAGGGCAGGTCCAGCCATCCGAGCCTTCCAATTCCACCTGGCATCTCACAGATGTCTGCACTGCCAGCTGGAGCCTTGTAAGGGGTGGGCCAGCAAGCTCAGATCTGCAGGTCCCTCCTGTGCCAGTGACCCCTCAACTGGTGAAGCAGCCCCTGCTCAGCCATGGTGCTGGCTATACCCATCACAGGATCACAGAATCACAGAATGTCAGGGGTTGGAAGGGACCTCAAAAGATCATCCAGTCCAGCCTCCCTGCCAGAGCAGGATCACCTACAGTAGATCGCACAGGAATGCGTCCAGGCGGGTTTTGAATGTCTCCAGAGAAGGAG